ACATGATGAGAACAGTTTGAGGTATGCTCTTGTTTGCCTGGACCACAAGCCTTATTGAAGGCTTGTCAACACTGAATGGGGACTTTGAGATAGAAGCTCTGCATACGTAGGGAAATGATGTGGCAAAAGTCCACACGAAGAAAATTCCTGTTATTTTACAAAATACTAAGAAAGATGAAAACTAGCTGTATCCTGAAGTCATTGATGTAAGGTCCAACTAATGTATTCTTTCAGGAGATCGTCCAAGAAAATCTGTAAGCTTCCTTTTTTAAGGTAAGACTGTATAAACTAATTATTTCTTTCACCCTGGTTACTAAGAGGCTCTCAGATGAATACAATTTATGATTAAATGATATTTTTTGAAAAGTAATTTGTAAAATATAAATTGACATATGTTATTACAAGTATACTTCCCTGAAATAATAAACAGAGCTTTTCTCTTCTTAAATGTCTCTCTTTTTTCCCAATGTTTGGTATATTTTAAATTTGAATATAATCTTATATGTATTTAATAACATGAATATTATTTTTATATGTATATTATTTTATTTTTGTTTAAATTTTTATTTTGTTTATTTTACTTATTTTATATGTATGTTATTTATGTTTAACATACTTTTATGTTTTATATGTTTATATTTACTTCACCAATATTTGTGAAGTACAGTGTGATTTATAAATCAATAATACAGAAAACAACTTCAGAATATTCGAGTCAATAAAAGCAACAGTTATCATATTGGAAGTCTCTTGATTCTCATTAGCTTTTTCCAGCTTTATGGAGATGTGATTGACATATGACACTGTGTAGGTTTAAGGTGTACAATGTGATGATTTGTTACACATGCATATATTGTAACATGTTTACCAAAATAGACTTAATCAACACATCTTTCACATCACATAATTACCTTTTAGTTCTTGTTGTTGCCATGGTGAGAATGCTTAAGATCTACTCTCAGAGCGACTTTCAAGTAGACAACACAGTATTTTAACTATGGTCCATGCTGTGGGTTAGATCCTTGGAATATACCCCTCTTATACCTGGAAGTCAGAACCCTTTTTTTTTTTTTTTTAGATTTTATTTATTTATTTTTATTTTAGATTTTATTTATTTATTCATTAGAGACAGAGAGAGGCAGAGGGAGAAGCAGGCTCCCAAGGAGCAGGGAGCCTGATGCAGGACTCGATCCCAGGACCCTGAGATCATGACCTGAGCTGAAGGCAGACGCTTAACCATCTGAGCCACCCAGGCGCCCCGAAGTCAGAACCCTTTGACCAGCATCTCCCTATTTCCCTGAGCTCCTGGCAATCACCATTCTACTCTCCGTTTCTAAGAGTTCAGCTTTTTTTTTTTTTAATTCCACAGATAAGTGAGAACAAACAGTATTTGTTTTTAGAGAAATACTCTCAATATTCTTGTCTGACTTTTTTCGCGTAGAATAATGCCTTCAAGTTCCATCCATGTTGTTGCAAATGGTAGGACTTCTTCTTTTCTCATAGCTGAATATATATTACTTTTATGTATATATATATTCATATATATTCATATTTTCTTCATCCATTCATCCATCAGTGGACACTTAGGTTGCTTTCATATGCTAGCTATCATAAATAATGCTTCAGTGAATATGAGAATACAGATCTCTCTCCCAGATACTGATTTCTTTTCCTTTGGATAAATACCCAGAGGTGGAGTTGCTGGATCACAAGCTAGCTCTATTTTCAATTTAATGAAAAATTTCCATACTGCTTTTCACAGTGTCTGCTCCAATTTCTATCCCTGGCAAAAGTGCACAAGGGTTTGCTTTTCCCCACTTCTTCACAACACTAGTGATCTGGTCTTTTGGATAATAGCTGTTTTAACATGTATAAGGTGATATCTCATTGTGGGTCTTTTGTTGTTGTGTTGTTTTGTTTTGTTTTTGCATTTCCTCAATTAGTGATGCTGAGCATCTCTTCATGTATCTTGGGCATTCGTAGGTCTTTGGAAAAGTGTCTAATCAGGTGCTTTGCTCATTTTAAAATTAGATTATTTATTTATTTACTTAGTTGCTATTGAGTTGTATGAGTTCCTTGTGTATTTTAGATCTTAACCCCTTATAAGATACATGATTTGCAAATATTTTCTTCCGTTCCATAGGCTGTCTTTTCATTCTGTTGATGGTTTCCTTTGCTGTGCAGAAGCTTTTACCTTGATGTGGTCCCATGCTCTGATTTCTCCTTGTGTTGCTTGTGCTTTTGGTGTCATAGCCAAAAAATCATTGTCAAGGCCAAGGTCAAGGTGTCCTTTCCTTATGTTTTCTTCTAGAATTTTTATAGTTCCAGGTTTCATATTTAAGGGAGTTTTTAAATAAAACATTATTATTCTTATTCTTTTTTCTTTTTTTGCCTAGAATTTGACCAATCCAATTAAAATTCCATGGATAGAATTAACTGTCCCCAAGGCTTTCTGGACTTGAATAAACCCCTAAAATATATTCCTTTTGTTCCTTTCTACGTGTTTATATTAGGTAGTCCTCCCTTAAATAAGAAAGCAAATACTTTATATTTCATAATAGCATCAAAATATTCAGTTATAAACTTTATGATTTAAATGATATTGAAATAAAGGATTGATTGTGGAATATTCGCTATGTTCTTACATAAAAAATTATGACACCTGCAAGCTCTAATTTCAAGTGAAACATTAATAATAACACTACTTAGCATTTGCATAGCACCTTATACTTTCAAAGAACTCAATGATTATTAATTGGTTAATCTTCTCATGAGCCCTGTGAGGAGGGCAGCATTACCCTTTCTTTTTACAGACCCAGGGGTTAAGTGGCCTGCCCAAGGACCCAGACATTCCAGTTACACTTGAACTTGGAGCTTGATTTCTAATGTTTCCTGCCGACCACAGAACTCAGCTGTTCAATATTAATAGATTGAAATAGAGTAGACAAGAATACATCGAAATAGGTTTTTAGCTGCTCAGTGACAAAACAGTAAATAGTTAAAGTTGACTTTTTGCTTTTATCTGTCTTAGAGCTTTTCTAAGGAAATCATGGCTCATTTTGTAAAATTATAGTAATTTTAAAACAATTAGAAAATTAAACCGGGTTCTTGGTAGAAAGGTCAATGTGAGGAAGAGAATGACCCGCTTCCTCTTTAATAATTGAGTTAACTGAAAATTGGACTAGTTTGCCAGGAGCATTTCTAGTCCATGGGGCCTCTGATAGTCTCCTCCCATCAAGAAGCAAGGTTACGCAGAAAAGAGGAGAGGGGGATGTTATTCATGAGTGCACTGGTCCTCCCCACCCTGCAGCCGTGGTTTGGGTATGACAGCTGACCTCTGCACAGTGACCTCAGTGCCGTGAGTTTGCTGGAGGCTCTACCTTCTCTGACTCGCAAAGCCATCTCGACCTCTGCGTGCTCAGCGAATGCCTTCCTTGGGCCAGTAAAACCCAAGACTCCAGTTTCAATGTTTCCCCTTTTAGAAAAGTACATTGATCTAAGGCATTTCTCAGTTACATGACTTCTTGCAGCTTTGTTATTGTTGTTTTGTTTTATTTTTGAGGGGAACTCAATGGATTCCTTTCTTCAACTAAATGCCTTTCTGCTTATTAGGTGGGAATCATCAGTTTTGAAAGCGAAAGTTCTGGTTTTTCTCTATTTCTCCCACAAAGCCAGGTCCTCAGTTTTCATACATGGGAGTTTGGCTACACATAGGGTGAGACAAGATTCACCTTGGCCTCATGTGAGTGTTTGGTAAGTATTCTTGCTACATTTTCTACTACTGATGCTCCTCAAGGAGTGATTCCTCTTAAAGACATAGAATAGAAACCCTAAGAACTCCAATGCGAGAGCCCATGAAAAAAGGAAGGCTTTTTGCGTATGAATCTCTCTGCAGGTCAAGGGAGGGTCAAGGGTGGAAGAGCCAGGCATGTACAGAAATTAGAAATCTCATTGATAAACAAAACACTGTAATTTCCAATACTTGGCATGTCATCCTTTCTAGCAAAAATTTTTTGAGGACTTACTCAATATATAAATCAATTATAAATCATGCACTATCATAAAACATTTACCAAAAAATTTCAAATATAAGATATATATATATTTTTAAGATCTTATTTATGTATTGGAGAGAGAGAGTGAGAGCATGAGCACAAGCAAGGAGAGGGGCAGAGGGAGAGGGTGAAGCAGGCTTGTTGCTGAGCAGGGAGCCCGACATGGGGCTCAGTTCCAGGACCCTGAGATCATGACCTGAGATCATGACCTGAAGGCAGACGCTTAACCAACTGAGCCATCCAGGCACCCCTATAAGACACATTTTAAAAGACTATTTTAAGTAATTAAATATATGCCAATAGTATAAAATTATTATTATAATGGATTATGGTAAAAGCAATATATGCTTTATTACTTTTGAAAATTTTGGTTTATGTTTTATAAAACAGCAATTCAAGTGTCTATTTTTAAGTTAAGTTTATTTTCACTACTTGGTTTCAATGGCTATCATGATTACAAAATAAAAAATCCTTCACAAAGATTCATCATTCCGAGTGAGAAAAATAGATCATGAGCTTTACTTAAGTTATAAGAATTGTTTTTCAAACCTATGATATTTGGTTTTCAAACTTCTATGCAAAGATTTTGTTGAATTCTGGCTATTAAACTTCCATATTCCTTTATCAATCAATTATACCACCAAACTAATAGAAAATGTGTCTTTTATCTTCATACTTGGCCAATTTGAGGGGAAAAAACTTTTAAGCAGCTCAGAGGATTTTAAGTTTCTAGTTTGCAGCTGTGAGGATTTTTTTTTAATGGATAATGCATTTACATTATTTTTACCACAAATTACAGATTAAGGAAACATAATCATCTGCTTCTTTCCAAATACTTACAAGTATCTGTTTCTTTCAAAAAGCACTGCTTTCTATCATTTTGTTAATAAAAAACTCTGTCAGTTAGTATGCATTTAGGTGCAAATGACAGGAAACTAGACTCACCGTGGCCAGCCATAAAGGTATTAAATAAACTATACAAAGGAGGCTCTCACAGGATGGAACAGTAGCTCCGTGGCGTGATCCAGCACCTACGGTCATCCTTTTTTTCCTTTCTGCCATCCTTAGCATGCTTGCTTTTCTCCTCATGCTGGTACCTCATGCTTGCAAAGTGATTGATGTTGCTCCTATCATCCTGTACTCATTCACATGAGTATCCTGAACAGATAAGAATAAGGTAAGGGCTGTGGAGGGGTGTTATTTCTCTTCTTTATTATCTGCTCTTATTGTGGAAATTAAATCATATCCTTTGAATATAGCTGAGAGAGGCTCATAGTAAAGTAGGAGAAATGTCACCTCTGCTATTTCTTTTTTTTTTCATTTTATTATATTATGTTAATCCCCATACATTACATCATTAGTTTTTGATGTAGTGTTCCATGGTTCATTGTTTGCATATAACACCCAGTGCTCCACGCAGAACGTGCCCTCTTTAATACCCATCACCAGGCTAACCCATCCCCCTCCCCCCTCCCCTCTAGAACCCTCAGTTTGTTTCTCAGAGTCCTTAGTCTCTCATGGTTCGTCTCCCCCTATTTCTTTATGCTTAATTTGCCTGCGTATTTGTATCATCTCAAAGCAGTTCTTTTTCTTGAAACTTTCAATCCACTTGCGAAGGTTAGCTGGCAAATACTGGATAATGTCAGGTGGATTACACTGACGAACTTCGAAGCCTCTGCATGCAGAAGTCCAGTCTGCCCTCAGGACAGCCATGTGTTCCACGTGTCATGGGCCCAACAGAGTGTCATGCGGAGTGGTCAGTGTCACTATGCAGTGAATGCTAGGGACATTTATCTTCTTTCTTAGTGATGGAAATAGGGATCTACTCTGTTGCTTTCCCAAGGCTTGTTTTTTGCAACCCCTGGAAATAGGTATTCTGTTTTGGGATCCCCAAGGCTGGACAGCTGATTTCACAGTGCACAAAGAAAAAGTTTGGAATGTCTTCTTTCTACTGACCACAGGTGGGCTGACTGTGGAGTTCCACAGAACCCTGTCACAACCCACAGCCTTAATACCTACTAATTGTCAATGTCATCACCTAAACGTGTCCCTCAGACAACAAAACAGAAATGGACTCATTTCTGCCCTCCAGAGCTTTATGGGAGAGAGTTGTTAGAGCACTAAGTCTTGCACAATGTAAGACAACGTGTAACCTTCAGACATTTGTAAAGGGAAGACGTGCAAAATGGACCTCTGATATTCTGGCTACAGTAACAAACACAGTTAAGAGAAAAGATCCGAGGATTTTAACCTCACTTTTCCTTTACCTCAAAGTCACTTGTATTTTAACGCTAGCTGACCCTTTTCCTTCCTGGGTCTTGGGCTGTGACTGAAGTAAAGCTTCAGGAGTAAGGACACCAAACTGGGTGGGGAGGCTAAGGTGAGGAGGTCATGGCGTGTTTTTCAACCTCAAAGGACTGCAGTTGTGACCTTTTGGGTATCCAGAAATAATATCTTAGGCCTCAAGGTGAAAGTCAGATTAATATTTCCCAAAGGTAAATGATAGTTGGTTTTTTCTTTTAGTCCTTGAGGATCCCTTATTCCTTCTCTCTGTGAGAATCCTGGGATCCCCCCCAACCCCCGCCATCCCACCTTTTTTAAAACATTAGACTTAACACAACTTAAATCTTAGAAAATATGTCAATGCATTTCAGCACCTGAGCACACAATTAATCTTCATCTATCTCTGGTAATATAAACACACCTGTGGGACGTTTTTCATTGAACACATGAAAAGAAAACTCATAATAAATCTCAGACTGATCGCTTTATCACGACTGACAGGGCTGCTGGAGGCCCCCTCTTGAGGAGTGTGATTTGGGAGTATATAAAAGCAGGAGATTGATTTCTACAGAGCCCTCCCTCTTCTTTAGTATTTATCCCAAGCTGCATGACTTTCCTCCTCTTTAACAAAACAAAAAACCCCACAAAATACGGTTCTTACAGTTAATTTATGGGACCGAAAGTACACAGTCACAGACTCACCCACATGCATTATTGCTCGTTAGTGCCTGGAGGACGCAAATGACCGCTGAGGAGGTGCGTGGACTGACTTGTGCACGGCTCACACGTGGCGTCCCTTTAGAATGCGTTTCTTCAGGGAGACAAGAGAGAACAATCTGATCCCTTACTTAGCAGCAGTGCCCCTGGGGAGTCCGCTAAGTAGTGGCCTTGACGTCATTATCAGGGTTCACGTGTGCTCATCATTAGCAGAGTGTGAATCCGATCTCCCCTCTTCTGCTGTAGTATTTTTCAGGCTGTTCCAGAATGTTCTGGAGCCATGCCTCAGCAGTCTAGTGTGTGGGTGGGAGGTGGCGTGTGGGGAGGCTCCGTCCCAGGAGCTCAGGCAACCCCCATCTCTGATGAGAACAACTTTGCTTTGATCTGTTTTACATATTTGGGCTCTGCGTATGATTTTTAACAGTGTGCTATTCAAATTGATTTGGAGACCACTGATCTATGGCAGATAAAGAGTAAATAAAACTTCCAAAATCACTCCTCTTCCGCAGAGATCACACTTTATTTTCTGAATTGATTAACTCTGCTCTGCTGAATTCAATGACAACGTCCTTATGGCTTTGTAACCATAAAGGTACAAATATTACAGTACGCAGCTCTCTCTCCCTATTTTGAGTTTGGTGAAATTTCCCCAATACTAGAAGGAAAAAAAAATGTTTCACTTGGGAGGACTGGGGAAGAATGAAGCTTGAATTACAAAGATCAACTTAGAAATTTCTTAGTTTGATACAATTTTAGATTTAGGCTTACAGAGAAGCTGCAAAGAAAAAAAAGTGCCCAGCTCCCTATACCTCTTGATTGTTCCCCTAATGTTAACAGCTCATAAACCCTAGAACAATAATCAAAATGGGGAGAATTGACATTAATGCAGTGTTCTGAACCCATCTGTATGCTCTTTTTAAATTTTGCCAGTTTTCTCACTCATGTCCCCTTTCTGGTCCAAGTTCCAACCCAGTATCCTGCATTTCACTTAGTTGCCATGGGTCCTCTGTCTGCTCGAAAGCTTGACGTTTCGTCAGTCTGTTTTCCATGAAAATACTCTGTGGTTCTGTGTTGACTGGTCAATACTGACTTTCACCAACTTGTCTGAAAATGAGCTTTAATTTCTGTTAGATACTGTCCAATAGCAAGCTCAAATGTAGCCCAGCGATACATGATGGACGTTTATTATCTACATATATGGACTCGTTGTCAAAGTCACAGGTTTTAACAGCTTACAACCTGTGTAAATTGGTAAAATTTTTGGCCAGACTCTAATGTTCATGTGCTGAACATAAATCTATGTAAAGATGTAGCTATAATGCCATGAATTTACTGGGTCTGGTTGTGTTCTATGGATTTACCAAGAAAGTAATGGCTCAATCATTTGTATTTTGTTTCAGTATGTGTGCTTTTAGTTTCAAAAAATACAAGGAATCAGGAGAGGGGAGGTTCTTTATCTATATTTAAATAATTTTTAATTGTATTGTTTTAGGGTCAAATGATACGTTTGTACATTTAAGTGGAAAATCCTCTTCAGCAGAGCACGTGCTCATTTTTGAAAAATTTTTAAGTGTCAGGTGCACATAACAAGGGTTTGTATTTTCTGAATGTTGGGAGTAGGGATCTCTATATTTTTCTTAGATCGACTGTGTTAAAAAATGATATTCAAGGGGCGCTGGGCTGGCTCGGCTGGTTAAGCATCTGACTCTTGATTTAACTCAGGTCATGATCTTGGGGTTGTGAGATCAAGCCCCGTGTTGGGTTCTGCCCTGGGCATGGAGCCTGCTTGGAATTCTCTCTCTCCTCTCCCTCCGCCCCTCCTTTCCACTTGCACACTCTCACTCTCTCTTTCTCCCTAAAAAAATTTTTTTAAAAATTCTTTATTTAAAAAAAGATATTAAAAATGCACCAAATTTCCACCAATATTTGATATATCAGCCTCTAAAAAGAGTGTGCTACCATGTCTCACAATGTTTGTGGGTTTTTCACTTTAATTTCTCCTACAGCGCTCCCAAGTTTTTCTTTGTAGACTTACAGTTCTTTTGTTAAGAGAACACAACTTCAGGACTCTTCATCTTTCTGGTGTGTTGCTTCTCTTATTATTGTGAGGGTTAATTTTATGCTTCAACCAGGCCATGGTGTCCAGATATTTGGTCAACATTATTCTGGGTGTTTCCATGAAGGTGCATTCTTGGATGAGATTAATTTTTAAGTCAGTGGACTTTGAGTAAAGCAGATTACCCTCCATAACATGGATAGGTGGACCTCATCCAATCACTTGAAGGCCTTGATAGAACAAAGACTGACCTCTCTTAAGCAGGAGGAAATTCTGACAGCAGATTGCCTTTGGACTCTATGATTAATAATTTTGTGTTACAACTTGAAAGGACCGTGAGGTAGCCAGAAATTTGGTCAAATGCTGTGCTGGTGGTTTCTTTAAAGGTGTTTTGGATGAAGGCAACACTTAAGTATACTAAGTAAAGGAGATTTCCCTCCATAATACAGGTAGGCCATACTCCGTGAGCTGAAGACTTGAATAGAACAAAAGCCTGACTCTCCCTCAGTAAGAGAGTTCTGTCTGATTGCTTTAAACTGCGACATCAGCCTTCCTGGATCCACAGCAAGCTGCCAGCCTTTGGACTTGAATTGGGACATAAGTCAGAAGATTTTAGACTTGCTAGCTTCCATAATCTTGTGGGTCAATTTCTTAAATAAATCTCTTTCTTTCTATATATGCACATCCTGTTTCTCTGGATAACACTGACTAATACAATTATTATGTAGTATCCTCTTTGTCCCTAATAATAATTTTTGTCTTAAAGTCAGTTTTGTCTAATATTGATGGTGCCACAACAGTTTGAATTTGGCCCTTTTTCTATCTTTTACAGTCAATCATTTTGTGTCATATAAAATGGTTTTTCTTATAGCTGATTATTCTTATAGATGGATTTTGTTTATTATCCAATCTGAAAATCTGAGTCTTTTAATGTATAAATATAACCAACCTATGTTTATTGTTCAGTTGATGCATATTTGAACAGAATTCTGTCATCATATTTTATGTTTTCCATTTAGCAGACTCTTTCTTGGCTTCTTTTCCCATGTCCTATTGGATCCATCACATCTTCTTTCTATTTCCTTCTTCCCAAACTTGTTTGGAGTTTGCAGTAACAATAGCTAAGTTTTGATAAGAGCTTATTGTGTTCTTTTTTTTTTTTAAGATTTTATTTATTTATTTGACAGAGAGAGAGCGAGAGCAAGAACACAAGCAGGGGGAGTGGGAGAGGGAGAAGCAGGCTTCCCGCCGAGCAGGGAGCCTGATGCGGAACTCGATCCCAGGACCCTGGGATCATGACCTGAGCTGAAGGCAGACGCGTAACGACTGAGCCACCCGGGCGCCCAAGCTTATTGTGTTCTAAGAACATCATAGTATGTGAACCTTCAGCACAACACTATGAGCTATCTCTGATTATTATTTTTATTTAGAGATGAGAAAACTGATATAGAAGGATTAAGTGACTCAGCTAATGTTACATTAAAGACTTGTCATGAGGTCACATTCTCAATAAACCTCATTATACCATTTCTCAAATTGTATATTGCATTTCTAGTTCTTTAGTGTTGGCACCATATTTTTACAAGTGTTCTTGACTTAATGAAGTCCAAACAACCAATATCAATGTGTTCTTCTTAAACAATCCAAGGATCCTAAAAAGTTTTTTCACTGATCCCCCTTCCTGTTTCTATTGTTGTCTACTACTTTTCTAATACCATATGTAGCCACCACTTTCCAAATTCATTATTATTAGTCATAATAAATGCTTACTTAGACATCCTAATTCCTTCCTCTCACTACCACTTGCACCTGCTCTTTCTTCTGTTCAGTTGCCTTTTTCCTAAGATGTGCTTCTAGTGTTGGAAGTTCTAACAAGTGTCTATAAATGGCAGTGTCTATTGGTGTTGTTTGTCTGCAAATAAACTTATTCTGCTCAGATTCATGAGATTATTTGGAAGGATATAGGTTTTTACATTTTTGTTTTCCTTCAGTACTTCAAATGTATCATTCAATTCTGGCAGCTATTGTGTTTTTCTTTTAGCAATTGTATTTGTTCTGTTGGTAATCTTTTCAGAAGGTCTATTTGATGGCTGTCAGAGTTGCCTATTCTTTTTTTAAATAAATTTTGTTCTGGAATAGATTGAGATTGATGGAAAAGTTACAAAGATAGTGCAGAGTCCTTTTTCCCTGTTGGTACATCTTCCATTAGCATAGTACCTCTGTCACAGCTAGAAACAAATGTTGGTGCATTGCTAGACAGACCAACTAAACTCCACAATTTATTTGGATTCCAGCAGTTTTTTCCTAATGTCTCTTTTCTGTTTCAGCATCCCATTCAGGGGATGCATCCTGTGTCCTTAGGCTCTTCTTGGCTATGAAGGTTTTCAGACTTTCCTTGTTTTTGATAACCTTGACCGTTTTGAGGAAGACTGGTCAGGTATTTTGTAGGATGTCCCTCAGCTGAGATTTATCAGGTGTTTTTCTCATGATTACACCAGAGTTATGGTTTTGGGGAGGGAGAGTGCAACTTCCTTTCCATTATGTCAAGGCTACATCTTATTGACATCACTTGCTATTGATAATGTTAACCTTGATCACTTAGCCACAGTGGTGCTGGCCAGATTTTCTCCACTGTAAGCTGACTCTTGGGAAGGAAGTCAGCAGGTGCAGACCACACTCAAAGTTGCATTGGGGGAGAGGGAATTAGGTTCTATTTTTCATTATGGGTTTCTATTTTTTTATTTTTTATTTTATTTTTATTTTTATTTTTATTTTTATTTTTTATTTTTTTTAAGATTTTATTTATTTATTTGAGAGAGAGAGAATGAGAGACAGAGAGCATGAGATGGAGGAGGGTCAGAGGGAGAAGCAGACTCCCCGCCGAGCAGGGAGCCCAATGCGGGACTCGATCCAGGGACTCCAGGATCATGACCTGAGCCGAAGGCAGTCGCTTAACCAACTGAGCCACCCAGGCGCCCGGGTTTCTATTTTTTTTAAAAACTCTATATCCATCTTAAACTTCAAATGTTATTTCATATTTGTTCATAAGCCTGTATTATTTCTG